GTTTGTTTTGAAAATTGCTTTATTTCTTAAAGAAAAACCTGTGACTTCATGAATAAAAGTGTGATAACATGGAATGTAATATTTCATTCTTGGAAGTAAAACTGAGCATCGACTGAGACCATGTAAGCAATTGGGCAATCTTAAGTATATATCACAGATATCTTGTTGAACACTCTGGTCTTATTTGAGCACAATAGTTAAATTTCGAAAGGAAAAAAAAAATATATATATATTCTCTGACTAGCATACCACCATATAAACACTGGACCACTTTGAAAGAATTATCACAGATGTTGCGCCAAACATTCTGATTTGAGCACAGCAATAGCAAGTTCTCGAAAGATAAAAAAATTGTTTCTGACTAAAGCAGCCGTCACTCGCGCGCTCCCCGTTGGTTCCGCCGACCCCTCCGCTGCCCCCGGCACACCCGGCTCCTCGTGGTTCGACATTTTGGTTTGAAGAAGGCGCGTAGCGCACATCCCGCATAATATTGGAACAACTTTCTCTCCAATTAATTCTTAAATGTATTGCAAAAGGGTACAAAAAAGCGGTTTGTTTTAACAACGCCCAAAAGGTTTTTATTGTTTTTCAATACTTTTACCTGTACTAGAACAGATGCGACGGCCAGCGACGCACAGGATTGGTTGCCGTTCCTTCGCTAAACGCAGGAACTGCTCCCCGCGTCGTAGTAAATCCTACCCCGTATCCCGCGCGTAGGGACGCCTCAGGGAATGCGTAGCTACTTCCGCTCGTCGGTGGTTGGCTCCGGACGTCGCTGAAACGGGTGACGGGTGTCAAGTTTGCGATGACGTAGCGGCGTCAAAGTGGGCGGAGCCGCCACGTGAGTGTTGCTAGGATACGCTCCTCCTTTGCATTACGTCACTTCCATGTACCTTTTCTCAAATGTCCAACCTAGCGATCCAGTTGAAAGTCCCTGCAATCAGTTTCTCCGAGCGACATTAGGCTTTTGTGCTTGAAGCGATGCAGATCTCTCCGCCATTAGGCAGGGACGCTAGGTACCTCATTGTCCCCATAGAGCTGGTCACGTGACCTAAAAATCCCTCTTGGCCGCAGCCGCGACCGCAGCCGCAAGATGAGCAAACCGGCCCTGGATACCCGCCGTATTTGACGGCGGTTTGTTCCGTCGCTGGTACTCGTGGCACGTTCATGTGTAGACGTAAACGGCCTTCGGGAGCTTGGGCCAGTAATACTTCTCATGAATTCGGGCCAGCGTACGGTTGTAACCAGGGTGACCGGACGTCGGGTCGTCGTGGCAGGCTTGGAAGATCTCCTCTCTGTATGGGTGGTTAGGATTACGAGCAGCCATAGCGAGCTGTTGTCGCCGAAATGTTTCTTGGAATGTTTACCTCGTGGAATGACGAAGGTCGGCAGGGCTCTCGAAAATACACGGGAAATAGTACCCCCTTGTCGTTAGAGGTGCTCGACTAGCGCGAGCAACTCGGGGTCATGTCTTTGACGTCCTGGATATCGTCGGAATGCACTGCTCCTAGGCACCACTCGTCGTCATCGTCGTCGCTGCTGCCTGAAGGTGTCTCGACAGGGGCTCTGGACAGGCAGTCGGCGTCGCTGTCCTTGCGGCCTGTTTTATAGAACACAGTCACGTTGAACTCCGGCAGTCGGAGATTACATCGAGCTAGGCGTCCTGAAGGGTCCTTTAGGTTCGCAAGCCAGCGGAGCGAGTGGTGGTCCGTGACAACGCGGAACGGGCTCCCGTAGAAGTACGGGCGGAACTTCGTGATTGCCCAGACGATCTCAAAACATTCTTTTTCAGTCGTGGAGTAATTCACCTCCGCTTTGGACAATGTCCGAATTGAGTACGCGATGATTCGCTCGTTGCCTTCCTGCATCTGAACCAGTCCCGAACCAAGTCTTGCGTTACTTGCGTCCGTTTAAATATCGGTTTCCGCATCTCGACTGATGTGTCCAGGAAAGCGCTCAGTCTGGAGTCATTGTTTCAGCTCGTCAAATACCTGCTGTTGCTTCTTGGCCCATTCGAACTTCTCGGCCTCTTTCGTGATGTGTGTGAGCGGTGCGGAAATCCTAGCAAAATCTCGAAACGAAGCGCCGACAGTACACTCATAGCCCAACAAACCTTCGCACGGCCTTTATTTCTGAATGCGCTAGAAATTCCTCGATAAAGCGAGTATTCTCTGGATGGATGGATGGTAATGACTATACCCTTTGTAACGGGTAGCAGCTTGCGCCACTAAGCCTAACATTTCGTCATCCCTTTTTTTAATACGTATAAGTTTTGTTTTAACACAACCCTCCCCCTTTTAAAGTGTTTCTATTGCTTATTTTCATCTGCATTTTTACCCGTCTCTATATATTTTCCACCAATCTTCCAATCACCTCATTGTTACTGCAGTATTTCCTTATCTATTCGCCCATTCATGTTGTGGGGATCCGTCCGGCCGCCCCACCCTGGAGTCCCGTCTTTCCCGCATTTCCCCCGCTCCTTCGCCCGTACCGCCCGCGCCCTGCTAGGGCCGAACGTTCCTGCTGACCCGGATCCTTGGACGAGGGAGCGTCACCATACGGCGCGTCATCCCGGCTCGGGATGGTGCGGGGACCGTGGCGGGGGCGTGCGTGTACACGTGGATGGGTCGTGGTGGGCACGTGATCGGTGGTGGAGCGAGGATATAAAAAGGGGAACGGAGACAAAGGAGCTCTCTCTCTAGCTGGGCTCTCTTGCGGCCGACTTGGGGGATCAACGAGTCACGGAGGCGAGCTCGGACGGCGGTGGACGCTGGCGCGGGGCAGAGCCCTTTATACTGGGAGAGTTTGGCGATCTTTTGAAGTACCCGACAGTCTGGCAACAAATACATCATAGTCTGACCACCCTGACCACAACGGCGCCTCAGATTTCAAAATCCAAATCCAAATCCAAATCCGAATTCTAGTCGTCGGTCCCCGCCATCTTGTGTTTTCCGGAGCGAGCCAGGCAGCTGTCTGAAGCCGTACTGGCGGTACTCGGATGGGTCCTCGCTGTTCTTGAGTGCATACGCTGTGCTTCCACTCCAACAAATGGGGTGCTGCAGCGCGGTGGGGTGTTCCAACACAAGGAAAAAAGGTTTCCGGTTGCATCGCTTTCCTGAAGGACAACGAAACCGTGCGAGGAGTCGTATCTGGCAAGCGAACGTTCGGCGTGACAAGTGGAAGCCTAACGCAAACTCTCGTCTCTGCGAGGTAAGCTCTCACACTTATCTGCCTTTACGTTCCATCTCCTGAGCCAATAAAAACTAAGACTAAGATATACAGGCAATCTTGCAGAGGATTGCAAAGGCAATATTCGGGCAGTTAAGGCGCGAGCACATAGACTGATCAACTGGAAATACGACCGCATAAGACGCGGATAGAAGTTAATTCTTAGCGACGCCTTCGCTGTTTTACTCATTAGTGGGAAAAGGAGCGCGCAGCGAAGGGTCTTTGGTCCGTGATATGTACCGAGCAATCGAAGGACGGCCCAACCGTACGCGCTCGCTTCTATGACTGGCACAAATGCGTGCTCTCACGCTGCTCACGAGCTCGTGGAGAGTAAGCGCGAACAGGCAATCGCCGGTTTTTCTGGTCTTTTGGAACCTTCGAGCCGAAAAGCTGCCAACAAACCACATCCGCGTTAAAATTTCGATGTTTACGCGATATCTCAGAGCCGCTGATCATACTCGCGAGGTTCTCAATTTTTTTCGCGTTTTTCGCGCACGCGAAGGCACAGAGTTCGCTTAGGGTTTATAAGAAATATACAACTCCTTATTACCGCTGATTCGTGTAAACTCAGTGATCCCATAAAACTTAATAAATTGAATTGTGGCGTAAAAATTATTCTTTTTTTTCTAGGTACGTTTTGATGATGACCAGTACGAGAGGAACAGGCAAGATGGCTTGAAACTCAAGCAGTCTGCTATTCCAACATTATTCTCGCACATGAAGAAGACAACCAAAAGAAAGCCTCCAAGACCTAGAGACGTAAGGCTCCTACCTTGCAAGCTGATATAGTTCTCATGGAGACACAGCCATGCAGGACATTCATGCCAATGAACTTCGGCCCCATTTCAACTAAGGGGATTCTTTGCACAGTCAAATTGAGAGATCTGAGATAGTATTCGACACTATCCGATTCTAAAGGAGGTTGTCCAGTCGGTCCATACCGCTCAGTAAATTTTGGCAATTGTGATGCATGGTAAAAGATTTGTGTCGTTTTCAGCAAATGTGTTTTGATCCCACTGCATTTTATCAGTATACAATCTTCTGTTGTCTACCTTCAATAATCATTCGTGTAGGGGCCAATTTTTTCAGAGATTAGTGCTCGCAGTTTAGAGTGCTACCAATCCCACACTTTATTGCATTATTATGCAGGCTGCTCCTTCCTGAAGCTGTCGTCAGACTTAAGACACCTTTCTCTCGAGTTTTCTGTCAGCTTGCCTTGTAGCACAGACTTTAGTAAGTGTTGCGAGTGCAGCTCAAAGCTGACTGTGTTTGATGTTCCTCTGAGCTTAGACTCTATTGTTCCATTTTAGGAGTACCCGGCCAGGCCACAAGGTAACCTGCGGATCGAAGTTCTTCCTTGTACAGAGCACCCATGCTTGTCAGAAGCACCGACATCCTCCCCGTTGACTCTGGTTGATCGTGAGGCACACCCTTCGGTAAGTGTACTTGAGTACTGTAGTGGTAGGGTGTAGGGCCATTACGGATGAGTGGAAAGAGACAGGAAGAGCTAGGAGAAGGACAGCGCCCCGAAGGGCCTGAAAGGCTTACATTGCCCGCGCGTGGGCCGCGAGGTGCCGGGAACCCCGACGAAAGAAAGAGACGTCACACCAGCTCGGAGTTTTCGTGAAGACTGTTTCATTTACAATATGTACATCAATCCAGAGACAGCGCGTACCGCTGTCAAGCATGTGGCGCCATCTCGTAGTAACAATACAAACCATGACTTCTTGCGCCATCTAGTTTGTTGATGGCACACTACAAGTACTGCATTCAATTCCAGAATATTTGATTGTCTGTGAAAGTTGCGACAAAACTGATTGCCGGAACCTTTTGTAACTCTATTGCAGACTGCAAACGTCGATCACCAGCACCACACGCTCCGTGGCGACTCGGATGCTGTGCTCCCCAACGGTCATCCCGACAGCGAAGGGCATGACAGCACGGTGGTTTCAGATTCAGCCTACGCTGCGAACCACACCTTGGTAGGCATCGTTTTCATTGCCAGAGTGCAGGCAGCCATGTTTGATGCTTGTTTGAGCTTACACTTTGTCTTTGCATGCCTGACTCTGAACTACAGGTCGTGCAGGCTACAGTTCCTTCTCAAATGCTCCACCCTTGCTCGCCAGCCCCGTCGATTCTAGCTCATTGTGAGGCACACCCTTCGGTAAGTATACCTGAGTACTGCAATAAATTCCAGAACATGTACATGTCTCTGAAAGTTGCGACAGAACTGATTGCTGAAACCTTTTGTAACTCTATTGCAGGCTGCGAACGTCGATCACCAGCACTACAGGCTCCGCGACGACTTGTATACTGTGCTCCCCAACGATCGTCCCGACAGCGAAGGGGATGACAGCACGGTGGTTTCATATTCAGCCTACGCTGCGAACCACACCTTGGTAGGCATTGTTTTCATTGCCAGAGTGCAGGCAGCCATGTTTGATGCTTGTTTGAGCTTACACTTTGTTTTTGCATGCCTGACTCTGTACTACAGGACGTGCAGGCGGCAGTTCCTTTTGGAATGCTTCAACCTTGCTCGCCAGCCTCGTCGATTCTAGCTCATTGTGAGGCATACACTTCGGTAAGTGTACCCGAGTACTGCAATAAATTCCAGAAAATGTGTATGTCTGTAAAAGTTGCGACAGAACTGACTGCCGAAACCTTTTGTAACTCTATTGCAGACTGCAAACGTCGATCACCAGCACCACACGCTCCGTGGCGACTCGGATGCTGTGCTCCCCAACGGTCATCGCGAGAGCGAAGGGGATGACAGCACGGCGATATCATATTCAGCTTGCGCTGTGGACCACACCTTGGTAGGCATCGTTTTCATTGCCAGAGTGCAGGCAGCCATGTTTGATGCTTGTTTGAGCTTACACTTTGTCTTTGCATGCCTGACTCTGAACTACAGGTCGTGCAGGCTACAGTTCCTTCTCAAATGCTCCACCCTTGCTGGCCAGCCCCGTCGATTCTAGCTCATTGTGAGGCACACCCTTCGGTAAGTATACCTGAGTACTGCAATAAATTCCAGAGCATGTACATGTCTGTGAAAGTTGCAACAGAACTGATTGCCGAAACCTTTTGTAACTCTATTGCAGGCTGCGAACGTCGATCACCAACACTACACGCTCCGCGACGACTCGGATACTGTGCTCCCCAACGGTCATCCCGGCAGCGAAGGGCATGACAGCACGGTGGTTTCAGATTCAGCCTACGCTGCGAACCACACCTTGGTAGGCATCGTTTTCATTGCCAGAGTGCAGGCAGCCATGTTTGATGCTTGTTCGAGCTTACACTTTGTCTTTGCATGCCTGACTCTGTACTACAGGACGTGGAGGCGGCAGTTCCTTCTCAAATGCTCCACCCTTGCTCGCCAGCCCCGTCGATTCTAGCTCATTGTGAGGCACACCCTTCGGTAAGTATACCTGAGTACTGCAATAAATTCCAGAACATGTACATGTCTGTGAAAGTTGCAACAGAACTGATTGCCGAAACCTTTTGTAACTCTATTGCAGGCTGCGAACGTCGATCACCAACACCACATGCTCTGCAGTGATTCTCATGCTGTGCCCCTGAACGGCCATCTCGACAGCAAAGGCGACGACTGCGTGGGAATGTCATCTTCAGCCCACGCTGCGGACCAGACTTTGGTAGGCTTTGCTTTTATGGCCAGAGTGAAGACAGTATAGTGAAATAACACTTTAACCGCCAGGGTATCTGCCATGCTACAATATTTTCCAAATGCAGCTTTTGAATGTGCTATCGCGATACATTCAAGTACGAACAACGGAGCGCGTGGCTTTCGGTACGTGCTCCGCAGCCTGGCGACGGGCCAGCGAAGGTTGGGTACGAGGTTTCTAATCTAATTCTAATATGCCTTGAGCATCGCTTGGTGTGTCAGCACTTTAACTTGTTGTGCCGTGGCACTGGGGGCCTGTCCGCGCTAAATAACTGTATATAGGGGTGAACAGGCCACAGCACCGAAGCACGATAAGTCGGTGCTCACACACCGTGCGGTGTTCAAGGCATATTAGAATTAAATTAGAATCCTCGCACCCAACTTTTGCTGGCCCGTCGCCAGGCTATGCAGCATGTAACGAAAGCCATGCGCTCTGCTGTTCGTATTTGAATGTATCACAATAGTACATACCTACCGTAACATCCCGACTCAACGCCCACCCCGAGTCATCGCCCACCCCACTTTTTAGACGAAATATCAGTTTTCTAAAAAAAAAAAACACAGTCTTCGCCCTTCCCTACAGAATACCGAACCGCTGATCATGACATCGGTGAACACCCATCCTTCCGTGGTCCCCAAGGTGGAAAAACGGTCGTGACAATGAAATCTAGAGAGATAACAGAAGCTTTCTTTGTTCACAACTATGAGCAAGTATGAAAACCCCGACCGCAGACTCGGAGATCAAAGACCACGAACCGAAAAAATTAAATAAAATGAAGCTAACGGAACGAACATTTTGTTTTGTTCGGAAATAAAAGAAAGCTCATTTCTTCCCGGAAAGCACCATACTGCAAATGGCCAAGTGCAGCAAACACTCATTGTCCCAGAATGTAAACATCTGTAAAAAACAAAACAAAGCCAAAACGGAGAGTTTGACAAAACGAAGCCTTTTGTATTTAATTCCCACAGTAATGTCTCGTTCGACGGATTTGAAGACCGTGATAGGTGAAGCTCAGACACTCCCAAAGTTTGCGAAATATCCGAACTTTACACTATTGCCTTCCTCTCTTTGGCTGAAGCAGTGCGTTCTCCAAACTGTGCAGTAACATAGCTATCGGTCTGTGTCACACGCTTGCACGCAGGCACCACCAACACAGCAGGCTCTATAAACGTTTGCAAATATGGCGTCCCAGCTGGTGCCCCATGCAAATGCATAGGGCACCAGCACGTGCAGTATCCATGTGAACGTAGCTTTGGTAGGCTTGCGATTGCCCATGCTTGCTGGCATGAGCAAAGAAATGGCGGCGGCCAGCTGCCCTGCTTGAAATCGTCTATACTCCATCTTAGAAGTTGGCTTCAGTGCTGAGAAAGGAACGGGCGCGAGGGTCTGGTTTCAAAAACCGCTTTTTCTGCGCGACTGCTCCTGCAAGCAAAGCATTCTGCAGAACCACACTCTCGGGCACATGCCTTTGCCAACATTGAAGCCAAAAAGAGAGATGGAGTATACACCAACTCATGTATACAAACAAACCGGAGCGCCCCTAGCGGACGCCACCGGCGCCGCGCATGCGCGGTGGACGGTGGGCAAGAAGACCGCCGTCGCCCATAAACAAACCATTGAATTGCGTTGTTGTCGGAGTCAGTGGGAGTCTCCGTGCTCTTTTTCGCGTTGGAATTGTTGATTCTACGTCCTCCTGATAATGTCTGACTACTTCAGCGGCTTCAGCCAAATTAACGAGGCAAAACTTTGCGTGAATAATGTGACGTGCGGCGATTCATTTCACGTGGACGCCGCAGAAAGGGCGCTAAAGCCTGACTCCCACGATGAGATTCTGCTTGCTATTTTCAGTCGCGACGTCGCTCGAGCTGCAAAAGCGTGGGCCGTAGCTGCAAAGGTGGACGTTGATACTGAAAACCGCAAGTAGAATCGGGCATTACAAGTAGATCATGGCCACTAGTAACAATGATCAACATCTTTTGTATCTACTGTTTACACTTAGCCTACTTACCCCAACCAACCTTCAAAAGTGTTTTGAGGCCTGCAGTTAGTTCTTACCGCAATTACCGGGTCAACGTTTGGTTAACGGGCCGCTGTCGTTTGAACGAACTGACGACAAAAAGCAGACAAGTTTGAAAGAGCAGACGACAGTTCGAACGCATGCGCAATGGAGTGCGGGCAAAAAGCACCGCGTCCCGCGTCAACAAACCATTCGAATATCACGTTGTCGGCGTCTGTGCGAGTCTGCATACCCTTTTTCGAGTTGTAATTGTCAATTCTACATCCTCATATCAATGTCTTACCATTTTAGTCGCCTGAGCGATATTATCAAGGCTCGTTACGCCGCTAAACTTTGCATAAATAATTACGTGCGGCGATTCATTCGCATGGACGCCAAAACCACGATGAGATTCTTCTCGTTATTTTCGGTCGCGACGTCGCTCGTGCTGCAAAAGCGATGATCGACATCGATACTGAAATCGGAAGCGGGACAGACCAAGCGTAACAAGTTGGTGATGGCCACTGGTACCAATAATCAACATCTTGTATCTACTGTTTACACCGAGCCTATTTAAGTCTTTTGAGGCCTGCAATTACTTCTTATTGCAATCGCCGGGTCAAAGTTTGGTCTACGGGCCGGTTTTGTTTGAACAAGCAGACTACAAAAAGCAGACAAGTTTGAAAGAGCAGGCAGACGAAAGTTCGAACGATCAGGCGGCCGTGTGAATTTGAAGACGCACTGAACTCGTGGGTGGTCCGGACAACTCGACGGTTTTCTCTCGTTCATTTTGGAACAAAACATACATCTGGCGACCACAAAGTGTTGCCCGCACAAGCAATCGTAGTTCGACAGCGTCTGGTTTGCCCTTTTCACGGCTACTATCCACGTTCTCGGACGAACGGAGGGGGCAGAAGCACATGAAAACTGATCTTCAAACCTTTCCAGACACTCTTGGTACAGCCCCCGTCGCAGAATTTTGACGAGAAGGCAGGTTTTTTGTCTGGTTTCTTCCCAAAGGACACAGGAACGCATGTCTCGCTTGGCAACTTCTGCCCACCGCCCCAGACCGGAAGTGCGTCCAACGCGCCGCTAGCGCGGCGTGACGTAGGAGAGTTGAGTTCGTGTATAGACGTTTGCATACATGGCGTCCCCGCTGGTGCCCCAACCTTGTGCATGGGGCACCAGCACGTGCAGCCCGCATGAAGGTGGCTTTGGCAGGCTTGCAGTTGCACGTGCTTGCTGGCACGAGCGAAGAAATGGCGGCGGCCAGTTACCTTGCTTGAAACTGACTATAGAAGAAGTTTGCGAAAGAGGCAGCCCCCTTTCACAAGTTTGACGCCCGACACTTCACAAAAACGAACACGCTGCGATTTTTTTTCTTCTTTATGTTCCTTTACACATAGTTGCATGATTTTAGTTCAGGAGCATTGAATGGGCATGTTAGCACAAGCGGCATTTATGTGCTCGCCGCAATGTAAGGCACTCTTTCGGCCGCGGCCGTGCGAAGCACGTCCAATCTCTTTATTATGCATATCTAAGAGCGGATGGTAGGTTCTGTTTTATGCGGCACTGCTGTTTCTAGCATCTCGTTACGATGAGAAAAACAAAAGTTTTGAAGACGGTGTAACTCCAATCGAGCCATGCAAATGTGTGAAGAAAAAGGAGTATTCTGTTGCTTTCTTTTTCACTTTTTGCATTTAGACACCATGTCGCCGCCAATTCCACTTTTTCATGATTTTCGGGTGGTGGGCGTTGAGTCGGGGTATTACGGTATATCCTAACTAGAATGTTTGCCAAATGCAGATACTGAATTTTTGTCGATTTGGTCTATTATCACTAAGTAATATTCTGAGAGATGACCCATCCCCAAAGGATAGCCCATCCTAGTTTTTAGCATGATTTTTTCTTTTTTAATGAGTACACTTGGACCAAGTTTTGCACTCCGAAAGTTAGCCCAGACATTATTTTTATTTAACATGCACCCAAAGTTCGGTGGGCTATTTCTCGGGACATTATGGCACGCATGCAACTGCAGGGGCTACATTGCTGCTGCTTCCCAATATACAACACTCAATAATACTGACATTTAGGTTGCAGGAGTTGGCTGAACTGCAGCGGAAGTTGGCCCAGCAAGAGAATTATGTGACCCAGCTCAGGCACAAAGTCAGCCGTTTGCAGAAAACGAATAGTGCATTTTCTCAAAAAATGAAGAATGTCGCTGATGGCCTCCAAGCTGTGTTCACAGAAGATCAAATTCGTGCTCTCGACAGGAAGTCCAACCGTGGAAGTGCGTGGTCATCCGCTACGATAAAAAAGGGACTACATTTCACAACTACATTTCACATGTGGATCAACCGGTTACAACCTTCTACGTGCACAAGGACAACCCCTGCCGGCTGAGCGTACCCTTCGAAGCCACATTCAAGGAATAAAGTTTGAGCCTGGCGTTCTGGGCGAGGTGTTCGACCTCATGAAGGTTAAAATAGCCAACTTCCATGCACAAGAAAAGAAATGTGTTCTGATGCTTGATGAAATGCGGCTTCACGATAAAGTTGAGTATGACCCCAGCACACAGAGTTCCTGCGGCTTCACAACGTTGGGAGGAACCCAGCCTACATCTGCTGAGGGATCTCCTCAGGCATCCATTCAGGGATCTGCTCAGCCATCTGCTCAGGCATCTGCTCAGGCATCTGCTCAGGCATCTGCCCAGGCATCTGCCCAGGGACCTGCTCAGGCATGTGCTAAGGAACCTGCTCCTACATTGGCGACCCACTGCTTGGTCTTCATGATTGGAGGGGTGTCTACGCGATGGAAACAAGTAGTGGCCTACCACTTTACAGAAGCTTCATTTGGTGGCCCTGATTGTGCAGGTGTCGTCAGGGATATCGTCCGACGATGCACAGCCATTGGATTGGACGTTGTTGCCGTGACAAGTGACATGGGGTCGGGCAACCGGGCCATGTGGAAAGAATTCGGCATCATTGCTGGCAGATACTGCAAGGTTTCCTCCAGCACGCCCCATCCAGATGATCCGTCAAAGAGGATGTTTTTCCTTGCCGATGTTCCGCACATCATCAAAAATCTGAGGAACCATCTGTGTCGATCCCAGCAGGTAGTCCTTCCACAAGACATTGTTGATAAGTTCAACTTGCCATCACAGGTTGTCCATCTGTGGCCTGTGAAGGAACTTCTAGCACACGACAGGAAGAATGTTTTTAAACTGGCTTCTCATCTTACGGACACGCACCTGGTGCAAGGGCATTTTGACAAAATGAAGGTCAGTTATGCTGTTGACCTAATGAGCCACAGGACCGCATGTGCCATTGAGGAGCTGGTAAGAGAAGGCAAAATCAGTCATCAAGCCCTGACAACCGCCTGGTTTTTCAAGATGGTCAACAGATGGTTTGATCTAATGTGCAGTCGGCACCCTGGAATGGCGCTCAGTTTGATTAGGCCGGAGAAACACAACGAAGCTGTAGCATTTCTAGAGTTTTTCATGGACCTCTTCCTGAGGGTGAAGATAGGAGATGGCGCTTGGAAGCCTGTACAGACAGGGGTGCTGATAAGTACCAGGAGCATTTTGGGAATCCAACATACTCTCCTGCATGATGACAAGTACACCTTCGTTCTGACCAGCCGCTTCACTCAAGATAGCCTCGAGAACCTGTTTTCTGTTGTTCGAGGAAGGAACCCGATTCCTACACCCTATCAGTGCAAAGTTGCTCTTCGCATCATTAGTGTGTCGCAGTACTTGAAGACTCCTGCACACACCAGTTACTCCGTCGACGATGGAGCCTTCTTCTTGGCCGACTACCGTACTGCCACTCCTCAAGAGGTGAGGGAGCTGGTGGAAGGCACCTGTGAAGCTGATCCGGAAGAGGACCTCGTGATGCCAAGCACTGAAAAAAGTGCATTTCTGTACTTGGCAGGCTACCTTGCTGCCTCTGTCCTGAAGAACAACGTAACATGTGGATCTTGCAGACAAGCTGCTGTGGATCAGCAAAATACTGATGAAGCGGTGAAGTTTACACTTTCGAAGTGTTACAAGGACGGGGCACTCACTGTTCCAAGCAAGGGCCTGACTGCGTTACTGCAGGTGTCTGAGGCAGTATTCAGACGAAATGAAGACATTCTTCATAAGCAGACGAACTGCACTGACAGGCTGGTAGATAAGATGACAAAGGCTACCGAGCATCTTCAGTTCCCAAACTGCCATCCTATCAAAATGCATCTACTTCGAAGGTTCACTATGTTGCGTATTAGGATCTACCTCAAGGAAGTAAGTAGGTGTGAGCACCAGAAGCAGAAGAAGGCACTGGAGTCGAGAAAATTTGCAAGTGCAAGTACTGCAAGGAAGTAGCTTCTTGGTATGACTTGTTTGTATGCCTTTTCATCTAGTGAGTCAAGAAGGAAGTGCCTTGACACCTCCTGCAAACAGTAGGATGCTTCACACAGTTGTTTAGTTGTTTCCAAGAATGTCAGCTGCAAGGATGCAGTACGTTTGTAAAAAGCATGACAGTTGACGTTATTAGGTGATTGCCATTTTTCATAATTTATTTTTGCCCCAATTAAACACTTTTAAACCACTAGGCACATGTCTTGGTTATGCCTTCGAATTTATGCATGTCACCATGTACATTTTGTACACTAAGGAGGCTTCTATGTTGCGGGGGAGGGGGGGGGGAGGGGGAGGGAGTGGGGGTGCGCGGTAGCGATTATGGGTAAGCGGGATTAATACCCCTGCGAAATCTGCATGCGGTTTGATTTACGTGTTTCAGCTGTCTTGGGTTTTGCACGGCGAAACTTTGCATACTTTATTCGTTTAGCGCTCCGTGTTTTTTTTAAAACTTGTTTTAGTTTACGATTATCAATGTTCCCTTACAATGCATGTGGGCTAATGTGATCTCAAGTTCCTTCTCTTTATTGATTTTTTTTTTTGCGCTTGGACTTTGCGGACGGTCTCGGGAGGCGTAGAATGCGTGAAAATAATGCTTTTTTTTTTTGTGATACTAGAAAGTACTCATTCCTCCTGTATGAACTATATATTTTTGTTATTATATGACGGTATTCTTCCAGTATGAAGTCTGTCATTTGATGCAACTCTAATATACATCACTCGGACGCCTAGACAGTACCTCATTTTTTGAACTGAGTTCGCTAGTTTTTGTCAAGATGACTATTAAGATGGTAATGTAGAGAACTTATGCTTATACACAGATACCTTACAGAAGAAAATCGAAATCTTTTCCATTGAAACTAATTTCCGAACTGGTACAAGGCAACCATATAATTCGACTCCCGCGTTCGCCGTGCTGATTGCGTCTTACAAATGCCCGGTGTCGGAAAAAATGAGCGCTTAAATTGAACCACGAAATCCACCACAATTGTTATAAGCTGAAATTTAATTGCACCCAATTGAGCGCTCATCTCGTCGATAAATATGGCCGTGGTACAATCGCACAGCGAAGTACATCAGTGGCATAAGCAAGCGAAAACGAAACACACGCGCGTCAAAACTGTCCTCGACAATCGCGCATGCGGTTAACGCCGGCGAGCCACTGCAAACGCTGAAAACGTCTCTAATAATGCTTGCGAAGTTCGCCGAATAGTCTGAGCGCACTCGATCTATTGCAACTCGTTTATTACAACGTATAAATTGCGTGAAAGAGGCGCCTCGCTACTTACACGGCCCTGCGCACGCTACGCGCCTCTGCCGAAGTAACACAAGATGGCGGATGCTCTTCGTTCGAAGCCGGCTAAATCTGGCGGGTCGCAAGCCCCGCCCAGTCGCCCAACTCTCCCAGTATAAAGGGCTCTGGCGCGGGGGTGTGCGGGCACTACGTCGAGTGGCGGACTCGACATACGGACCGGACAGCGACCCTGGACGACGACGTCCCCATGACGCGGTGTGGACGACCACCGCTGGGACTCGGCGAAGCTGCTATGGCAGCGGACTTCCCCCCGGCCTCGCTGTTGACCGCTCCCCAACCCGAAACCCCCCAAGGCAATGAGTGAGTGAATAAACCCTTTTGCCGAGAGCGAAGTAGTGAAGTGTCATATTCATCCGGAGACGGTTTGTGTGAATCGGAGCTAGAAGAAGCCCGCAATGTCTACAAATCCCGGTGCCCCCTCCAAATCCGTAGGCATCCCCTCCCAGAGGGTGGGACGGAGTTCCGTGACCCTTAAAATTACATGTTCTATAGTTTCCCATTCGCGGTTACATATGCCGCATCCAGTGTCTACTTCCTAGAATTTAACCCTATATGTTTTCCTTTTTAGCACCCCCGTTCTATCTTCAAGCAGCAATGAGCTCCCCAAATGATTATCATACAACGCCACTGCTGCTAACCACGCGGCCTAAGAACTTCAGTTCATCATAGGCGAAACCACACTTCGATGGCTTGAAAGTGAGGCCGGCGGTCTGTATGGCTTGGAGAACAGCTTGGAGTCGTAGCAAGTGCTCGTCGAAGTCGCTTGAAAACACTATGGCCTCGTCAGTGTATACAAGACCACACTGCCATTTTATTCCATCCAGTACAGTGTCCATGGCAAGCTAGAAAGTTGCTGGTGCCGTGCATAGCCCGAGGGGCATCACTTGAACTCGTACAGTCCACCGGGCGTGATGAAGGCCGTCTTCTCTCGGCCCTGTTCGTCAACTTCGACATGTCGGCAGCGGCTCTTCAGGTCCATTAATTAAAATATCGAGTATGGAGCAGCAGGTCTAGCGTGTCGTCTATGTGGTGGAGTGGGTAAACATAGTTCTTCGCCACCGCGTTCAGCTGCCGATAGTCCACGCACAACCTAAGCGTTCCGTCCTCCTTCTTAACCAGAACGATTGAAAAGGCCCACGTACTGTTTGAAGGTTGGATTATGTCGTCGTTCAGAATTTCTTGCACTTGCTCCTGGATGACCTCGCTTTCTCTTAGAGGGACCCGGTTTGGCTATTGATTCAGAGGGAGCGCGTCATACTCGTCAACGATGCGATGCTTCGCAACGGTGGCTTGGTGCACGTTCGACGACGTCACGAAGCAGTCGCTGTATACGGTGAAGAGGTTCCTCAGTTGCCGTCGTTTTGGGCCCTGAAGCTCAGAGTCAATATCGAGCTGCTCTGGCGACGTGCAGTCTTGCCGATACGGTGATGAATCTCCAGTAATCGCGGTGGTTTTGGCGTAGTTTCGGAGTTCCTTGACGTGACCCACAGCTGCACCTTTCTTGAGGTATTGCGTTTCTTGTCGGAAGTTGGTCACGAGGACAACAGTGCGCCTGTCCTCAAGTTCAACTACTCCTTTTGCGACGCCTATTCATAAGGATA